CTTGGGGTGGAGGAATGGAAGCAACCAGAGGTTGGTGCAAACCTGTTCCTTCTTTGGACATGACACTCCTATCATTAAACCAGTTTTTAAGAGCCTAGAAGGCCCTCCACTTGGTATACATTTGTAGCTATTCCTTCCTCTGGCTTAAATCTCCCTCCAGTGCTATCCAAAGTAACAGTATTTGTGACTAGAGTTCTGTGACAAATTGTTAAGCATAGATTTTGTCATACCTCCTAGACACTTTTATTAAAGATTCAAAGTGATTATACTGATTAATATATGTCATGTACCACTATGTAAAATGTTTCTTTACTATTTTTCTTATAGATCTGTTAACCTTTCAGGTAATTGATCTTTCTGTAATTTATATTTCACAATGGTACGTGTGAGATATTTTTTAATTTTACTATTGAGTGTGGAGGATTTACCAATCCCTGATATAGGCATGATATAAAATTAGAACAAATGGTTTTGCATTTGTTCTCCTGTTCTATGAACTTCCTAAACTATTGCTCTCACTGCTTATCATATTGAAACATACTGGCCTCAAAAGAATCACTATTTCAAAGAAAAAAAGTCGACTACGGGATGTCTGAAGAGAGTAGGAATATTAAAATGCTCAGCTAGCTGCTAATTCAACAGAAATTAATACAATCTCTAGAGATGTTCAGTATGATCTAATACTGCAGCCTTCTGCCCGAAGTGCTTCACTGCAGTAACAGCCTTACCAAATATTTCCTGTTTTCACTTACACCTAATAATACTGATCAAAATGTCCCTTACAATAATCCTCAGAATGCACATATGTGCATATTGGAAAGTTTGACTTTAAAGCAAATTACATTTTTAATGGCAACTTATTTGGCAAACTGAGATTTCTGAAAAATATCAATAAATAGGTTGATTAAATTATGTATTTCAAAGATGCATTCACTTAGTTTGATGCCACATACTTTAAAATGGACAGGCTCATTCACATATACTTACCCTGTTCAATTCACTGCCTCCAAAATAAGGAGAGAAACTATCCTTTTGCCAATAAATTATGCAATCTTTTGATTGCTCATGTCTGGGTTCTTGTCAGAAAAAAAAATCATTCTCTAGCTAGAAGAGATTCCTCTGTTTAGATTCCTATGCAAAATCTACTTTCTGGTCTAAAAAGAATATTACTCATTAGGCAATCAACTAGAGTACATTAACAAAATGATCTTTTAATAATTACAGTTGAAGTTGAATTTTTATGATTTTATTCATGCAACCCCTAAGGGAGTCATCTATTCAATGAATCATAAGTTAGCTCATATATCCAACAATGTTGCCTGTTTCTTTAATCTGAGTACTATTATGCAATTAGGTAGGGTACAATGCATTTGGAATCATGTTTGACATTCTATTGCCCAAAAAGCAACTATATGTGCTTCTTCACAGTATACACTAGGATTGGTTCATTAAAGCATTACTTACTCATACCATACTTTCACTTGCTGCACCATCAAGCTTGTTGTCATTTAATTTGTCAGATTGCCTGAGATGTGGAACTGAGGAGCAATTCCCAAGCCTTCACTCTAGCTTTCAGTTCTTCCATCAGAGAATCTTCTCAGAACATGGAGTTTCCAGGGTGGCTCGGTCAGTTAAGTATTGGACTCTTGGTTTCCGCTCAGGTCATGATCTCAGTGTCCTGAGATAGAGCCCAGCTGGAGCCCCGCCTTGAGCCCAGCGTTGAGCTCCCTGCTTACAATTCTTTCTCCCTTTATCCCCTGCCTTGCGCGCGCTCTCTCTCTTTAATAGTAATAATAATAATAATGATAATAAAACAACAACAAAAAAAAACAACATGGAGTTTCCAGGCCATGCATGTTTTTCTAAACGTTTCCAAAATGTCCCATTATTTTAACTTTTAGGCTTGGCAAAAGCCTCTCCGGATGCCTGGAAATAGAAGACCTCTTTACATCACATACTGTTTGATATACCAATATTTTTCATTATAATAATCTGAGCATGTCTTTTGTTCAGTAGCCATTTTCTTTTATCTCTGATATCAAATTAAACTTGCAGATGAATAAGGCATATACCTAAAATAATAGAAGTTTGTTTTTTATCACAGGTATGCTCTTTTTTTAGAGATTCTTATTTGAACTTTCAAAGACACAAGTTGGCAAGGATGTTAAACAGTACTGATTGAATTCTAATCATTTAAATAAGACATATCTTCTTCTTTGTTTTCATCCCAGTGTTTACTGAGCACCCACTGAATAGGGCATCATTACAAGAACTTAGATATTAACTAAAGAAATATCCATTGTATTCTTTTGTGTGACAAAGAAAATGGAGCTTTAACGCCCGATATTTATAAACCCTTGTTAGATGATACTGAGAAAAATAAAGTAATGCCTTCTATAGGTTAGAGGAAAATGAAAATTTAATTAGAGCAAAAATGGTAAAAATGTGTGATGAAATTCAGAGAACTGAGCTAGAAAGTTACCCATAAATTCAAGTTCTTTAAATATATAAAGTATCAGAAGATTGCCTGACCCTTAAAAATAGTACAATGAGGGCACCTGGGTGGCTCAGTTGTTAAGCTCAGATCATGGTCCCGAGGTCCTGGGATCAAGCCCCACGTTGGGCTTCCTGCTCAGCGGGAAGCCTGCTTCTCCCTTCCTCACTCCCCCTACTTGTGTTCCCTCTCTTGCTGTGTCTCTCTCTGTCAAATAAATAAATAAAATCTTTAAAAAAAATAGTACATTGAATGTTAGCCATTATTATTACCATTAATATTAATACTATTCTCAGCACAAATATCAAGTGTTAAAAGTTCAAAATTTATCTCATCATCTGCCTTACATTCATGATTTTGTTTAATTTTGCATGAATTCATCCAGTCAGTGAAGAATGAGTTTTAAGTCAACTACCTGCAAAGTATTCTACAAGGTATTAATGTGGTAAACAAGCCAGAAATGACCCTAAAGTCTAATCAGGAAGATTGACAATACATAAAATTGTTTAGACAATTATAATACAGTTAGATTATTATGATATAATTTTCTCTACAGAAGTAAACAGTGCAATGGAAATAAACTAAACTAAATTCACTGCTTGAAACAGACAAAGCCACATTTGAATTGGACCATGAATTAAAAAAATGTCTCTGGCAAAAGGAGAAACACGCATGAAGGCCCTGAAGTAGAAAGAAAGGACGTGGTGAATTTCAGGGGATGAAAATATGCCAGAGTCATAGTAGCCTTTTCCAGAATCCTGTGAATAGAACAGAAAAACCTGAGAAGTAGGCATGAGTCAAGACCTCACACACCAAGTTAATAATTTCAGACCTGACTCTAAAAACACAGGAAATCTCTGCAAGTCTTTGAATTTGGAAGTGACATGACCTGGGCAACTTTTAGGGAAAGCACTATGGATCTCTGTAGAAATTCAATTAACTTAAAGTTAGAATAATTGCAAAAAGTCTACCAAGGAAGATACTGCAGTCATGCTGGTAAGACCTGATGCCTTATTTGAGGAAGTGGCTGTATTGATGAAGAGAAGTGGACATTTTTGAGGAACATTTAATGAGTAATATAGACAGGGAAGTAGAATGGTTAGCTATATGCCATCAGAGAGAAATTGTAAGGGATATGGTGGCAAACTAATGACTTGATAAATTAGGTGTTGGTTGTACCATTTATCAAGCTCAGGAACACTAAAGAATTTGGACAACATAAAATATGAATACAGATTTGCTCAATTTCAAATTCAGATATATGTTAAATATCATCATAGAGTTTTTTAATTCTAGGAATCAGAACAAAAGTCTACACCAGAAATTAATTTCACAATAAGTTATGGATAGAGTACATGTGAAATCATGAGCATAGATCAGATTAACTGAAGAGATGGTATAGAGTAGAATAAGGAAAGGAAAAAAAGTCTTAAGGTATTTATTACATGCAAATTCGATAACGGAAAGGCTTCCATAGCAGATTGAGACCCGAAGCCCAGTCAATTGGTATGAAAAGAAATAAAGCTGAAAAGAGATGAGGGAATGGAAGAGTTATGAAGATAGAAGTGACAAATTTGGTAAATGTTAAGGAGTGCTCAAGTAGGGTGGGGCTGAAAGCATCCAATAATTTTAGCCTCGTCGAGTTTATTAATGAGCTCATCAAAACATGTTACTGGAAAGCTATGAAGTAGTAGAAGCCAGATTGAAGTCTATGGGGGAATTGGGCAGAAAGAAAATTAAGAATACGTGAGGGCAATTGTTCCTAGAAGTTTGCATTTGAAGGGTGATAATGAGTGAAAATGATCTCTAAGTCTTTATTCCTGAGAATAATTTTTGGCAACTAGGAGAAAAAAAAAGCTGAACACCTGCCAACATAACACTCTTTTCTTCCTAAGTACTTTGGTCTTGTCCATTTCGCCTTCTAAATTTCTCTTGTCCCCTAGTTTTCTCTCAATTAGTTCTGTCATCAGCTTGTTTAATACTGTTAACATTTCTTACCAGAATAATTGTAGCAATCTCTTCCATGACTTATTTCCTTCTCCCGTATCCCTACTCCAAACTATCTTCACCCTGCTATTGAAACAGTTTCTTCCTAAGAGAAACTGCCCCTATTTTCTACTTTTAACTTAATTGGCTTCCCGTTTCCATCTGTATAAACTCATTAATCCCTTTATTCATATTCACATTTATATTTATTAAAGAGGCCATGGTTATCTTCTTTCCACCTCAACTTCTGCCATGCCTCAGCATGAAAATCTTGAACTAGCCTCTGTTATTATTTAATGTCCCTTAAATACAACAAGGAGCACTTTGAATACTCCATTATGTATTTTTACAGTAGTTCTATCTCAACCTCCTTGGGACTTCCAAAATATTTGTAATAAATGAATCACTATTCTTTTCTTCTTTTTTTAATTTCCTTTATCATGTTTTGAGGGCATTAACTTTGACCTCTTGATTTCAGAATCTTCAGTTACCAGCTTAGAAAGATTACAAGAGGTTTCCGGCCCAGCCTCTTTCTTTCCGTGCCGATAGCGCTCTCGCAAACATGGTGAACGTTCCTAAAACCCGCCGGACTTTCTGCAAGAAGTGTGGCAAGCACCAGCCCCACAAAGTGACCCAGTACAAGAAGGGCAAAGATTCTCTTTATGCCCAGGGAAAGCGGCGTTATGACAGGAAGCAGAGTGGCTATGGTGGGCAGACTACGCCGATTTTCCGGAAAAAGGCTAAAACTACAAAGAAGATTGTGCTGAGGCTTGAATGTGTTGAGCCCAATTGCAGATCTAAGAGAATGCTGGCTATTAAGAGATGCAAGCATTTTGAACTGGGAGGAGATAAGAAGAGAAAGGGCCAAGTGATCCAGTTCTAAGCTTCATATTTTGTTAATATTACGAAGACAATAAAATCATGAGGTTATGTTCAAAAAAAAAAAAGAAATATTACAAGAGTCTTAATGTTCCTTATCAATGAATATCTAGTCCTTTCCTTCTTGTGGCTCATATAGAAGCCTAGACTTCTTGACTCCTTTCAACTGGGTGTGGCCTATGAATTTTAAGTGGAAGTGGTATGAGTAATTTTCAGTCCAGATCATGAAATTGCTGGTGCAAGATCCTACAGAATACCCTTTGCCCTGTCAAGAGGACTGTGGAAACACGTGTAGAAATGAGATCATCTCAGCTGGGGATCATGAGTGACTTTGAGTTGCAGAGCTCCCTTCACTGAAGGTGAGCTGGGAAAGAACAGAGAGATCCTGGTACTACAGCTAACCAAGCCTATTCTGATAAAATGACACAGAAATCTTTGGGGAATAAATGGGGAATAAGTGAATAATTACATGAATAAATAAATAACTAGATGCTATAAAATAGAAAAGAAGTTGCTTGTGTGCACAAAATAAAGACGTAACAAAAATAAAGTGCAATATATAAGCTTTATAATACTAGAGCGAGGAACTGTGGTTAAATTAAATTATTTAAAACTGAAACAAGCTCCAAAAGGGACCAATACTATAAGAAAAGAAAGATGATAAATCATTAAGTGAATAAGAATTCTTGAAATTAAATATATGGAAACCACTGGAAGATGTATTAGGTCTTTCTATGTATCTTTCTGTCATCTATCTACTGTGTTTATAATAGCATGTGAGTTATGCACATGCATATATAAATATAATGACATAGTACAATATAACATAGTATAATGTATAATATAATACATAACGGAACAAAATTTAATATATACAAGACAAATAAAACAATAAGAATGGTAAGCAAGGAAGGATTTTGGCTAAGGTGTTTCCAATTGATCAGGGTATTAGCATTTGCAAATAGACCATTTATTACATAAAAAGTATTTCCAAATTTTTTAGCTTTCAGTGGGCACTCTGTAATGTTCCAAGAGAGTAGTCTGGCTTTTAATTTTTTCTATTGTTTACTCTCTTATTTCTGTCAATCCCCAGATAATTTTTAAGGTTCCACAAAAGTCACCTGGCTATCTGTGAACTAGCTTCTCCTTCTTCTGTAGTAAGTTATACTATTATTTTTTTTTAATTTGTGGTTCCACAGTTCTTTTTTATTTTTAAGATTTTATTTATTTATTTGTCAGAGAGAGAGAGAGAGAGAGCACACAAGCAGGGGGAGCGGCAGGCTGTCTGCTGAGCAGGGAGCCCGATGCGGGACTCGTTACTAGGACCCTGGGATCATGACCTGAGCTGAAGGTAGATGCCCAACCAACTGAGCCACCCAGGCCATGGTAGGTATGCTATTTTTAACCAAGCATGGAGATATATAAGCTTAAATACTCAAAGTTAATGAAAGCTTTGTTTTCTTACAGAAGTTTGCTAAAAGTACCATTCAAAAACTGCAAACTTTATATTAGATATTAGATAATACTGGTTCTGGAAGTTCTTAATTGACATCCCACTGGAGATATTCTCAGCTTGACCACCTCTGCTTAGTTCTTCACCTGCTACCTTGTTGTAACGGCCAACTGATTCTCCCAGTGGTACTTTCTTGACTCTTCCCCTTAACCTGCAGTCCAGCTTTTCCAATGACAGACATTGGACCAAAGTTAAAAGAAAAAATGTAAGACTCTTTTTTTTTTTTAATTTCTGCTTACAGGATCAACTTTTATCAAAATTAGGATAATCTGTAAAAATGCAACTAATATCACAAATTTTCACGTAATTATTCTGAGCAGCTTTTCCTCTCATTGTGTTGAAATTCCTCATTCACAGTTAAGTCTAGGATATTAAATTATGTTTACATGTACATGGGATCCATTTACTACTTTTTGTTTGTTTGCCTAATAAATTTTATTCCTTACCAAAAAAGAATATGTAATCAATCCTCATATGTAAATTTTAATTTCTCCACTGAAAGACACTCAGGAACTGCTGACAGTTTAAAAATAAATTTTCGGGCGCCTGGGTGGCTCAGTTGGTTAAGCGACTGCCTTCGGCTCAGGTCATGATCCTGGAGTCCTGGTATCGAGTCCCGCATCGGGCTCCCTGCTCGGCAGTGAGTCTGCTTCTCCCTTGGACCCCTCCCCCTTCTCATTCTCTCTCTCTCTATCTCATTCTCTCTCTCAAATAAATAAATAAAATCTTTAAAAAAATAATAAATTTTCATTTCTCTCTGTATATTACTATTACAATTATTACACCATATTACACTTGCATCAGTTGGGCAAGACAAAATTATTTTAGAGTATGATGGAAAGGTCATGATGGACTTCAAAATATAATGGAAGGTTTAGAAGTAATGTTAGGAAAAGACTCAGGGCTGATTCTGAGAACACAAAGCAGATAAATTTGAAAAATAACAATAATAATGTTACTTCCAGAGGCAAAAAAAAAAAAAAAAAGTAAGAACAAATCAGAAAAGAACTCATTAATACACTAAACCTTGCCCTCAACCATTAGGATTCTCTTCTTTACAATCAATTATTAGAAAAATAAGTGAGGCTCAGAGTTCATTTACATCCTAAATGCAGTTCTGTGGAGTTGTGTGTGTACGTGTGTGTCTGTGTTTTAACTATTGCCTTCACATTTCATTGATATCATGGATTCTGTTCTCTTCAGTTAAAATAAAACACAAAAGAAGTAAAAGTGTCCATTTGTAACTAGCAGGTGTGTTGTTAATATTGTGTAAGTAAATAACCTACAGCACAGCCGACTTTACTGGAGGAAAAAGACCATTAAGCTGCAATGTCATTTACAGTAAAAATGGGATAAATGTGACCTAGTGTTTACAGGTACCTTTATTCGGAGAGTATTAAGTAGGGTAGCACAATTGTAGAGATTGATAAAAACACATATCTATAGGAATAAGCGCAATAGGTCAACTCATCCTGTGGTAATACACCACTCCAAAATTCTATTTGCTCAGCAAACAAAAAGTTTACATTTCATGTACATTGCTCATCCTAAATAGATCCTCAGATGGATCTGCTCATGGAGTCACTCAGGGATACAGGCTAATGGAGGCTTGATCTTGACAGGTGTATTTATGATCACCATGGCAGCGGGAAGTGAATGTGGTAAATTACAAAATGGTTCTTAAAGTTTCTGTCACTAAAAACTTACATCACTCCTGTTCATATACCATTGGCCAAAGCAAGTCACATGGCCATGGGAAATTAAAAAAAAAAAAGCAGGTAGGGAATATGTGATTCTATTATGTTACTGAAAAGGAAAAGGCTAGAAAGATTTGGTGAACATCAGAGCCTTCACAGTCAGACTGTGTTCACCAGATGTTCAGTTCACTATTCTTTTCCCGGACACTATAAAAATAGATAACAGTGAGCATAAGAGCAGATGTACGAATAGTTTATAATCCCGTCTAATAGTGCTCAACCTTACCAGCAGCAAGGAAAAGCAAATTAAAATAACCACTGGAGTGGCAAAAACCAAAACAAAAAAATTTCACTCTGTGGGTGGGAGAGTAAATTGGCACAACCATTTTAAAAATTACATTAAAATTATAGAGTCATATTGAAGATATGTATAATTTATGGCACAGAAAACCCACTGCATTGTTTCATAACAGATCTAGGAAATAGCTTGGGGAAAAAAACTAAATCCATTAATAATATACTAATTAAATTATTTTAAATTAATACAATGCATTACCATATAGCAATAAAAATAAACTGAATACCAGAAACATGTTAGCAAGTGAGGACAGCTGTGTTAAGCTTGAGCCTTCTAAGTGGCTCTCCAGCTTAATTTCTCTGTCTTCTTGAGCAGTGGCCCCTGAAAAGCGAGACGTGAGGTTCTGGTTCATGGATCATGTAATGGATCCACCCCTGACTCTACTGAACGACAAGATTCCTCCATTTTTTTAGAATATATTATTATATGATTTTTTTAATAATAAAAAATAAACTGAATATCCAGAAAATAACCGATAATTTTTTACAAACTTATTATTGACTAAAACAAATCATCAACTAACATACAGTGTGATTAAATAAGGAAAACAGGCAAAACTAAATTATGGTTAGGTATGGATACATAGGCAGTATAATTTTAAAGTAAATTAAATAAATCAATGTCACCTATTTTAAGATAGGGTTTATACCTAAGTCAGTTGCTGGTGGTTATTATAATTATAAATGAATAGCTGGGGTCTTCTGGAGTGTTAACTATAGAAACAATTACAGGGCGCCTGGGTGGCTCAGATGGTTAAGCGTCTGCCTTCGGCTCAGGTCATGATCCCAGGGTCCTAGGATCGAGTCCCGCATCGGGCTCCCTGCTCCTTGGGAGCCTGCTTCTCCCTCTGCTTCTCTCTCTCTCTCTCCCTCTCTCTCTCTCCCTCTGTCTCTCATGAATAAATAAATAAAATCTTAAAAAAAAAAAAACAATTACAGCATTTTGTTTTCACTTATTTGAACTAGGCATATACATTTTTTTTGGATTCTTCTTTACATTACATTATGCGTGTATGATAGAATCCTAATAAACAAATATGCATAGAATAATTTTAAAACATATTAATTGATCCTGCAATAAAACTAGTAATTATGAGCCAACTTCATGAGAAACAAAAATTTTGAAAAATACTTAAAGATTATTATTTTTTCAATGGACAAACAGAACCTCAGGTAGTCTGGATGACTTTTCCACCTGTGGCATGTACTTGCTCTTTGAACTTGGGAGGGTCATTTTGCATTTCTGAACTTGTCATTTATACAACCTAGATGATAAGGGAACCTAAGTCATATGACTGTTGTGAGAATTTAATATGTGATATGAAAGTTGCTTTGCATTATGCCTTACAGATATTAATATTTGTATTATTCATATATTATCATGGATCATGATTGTTGTTATTATTTTTGTTATTATTAAGACCATACAGTTAATTAGTAACAAAACAGGGACTGCTCTTGAGTTTTCCTACTTCACAATGTAGCCCTCATTC